TTCATCTCCAGGACAAAGCCAACCGTTGTTTTGACTTTTTTTTTTTTTTGAACTGGGAAATTTTGTGAAACTCTGGAGTAGGGTGTCATATTAACTTTGACAAAATGTACTTAGGGGTTTGACTTTTAAAGTTCACGGCAGTGTAAGGAGTGTGGTAGCAGGTAAGCAAATTGGTGATGGTCACAGGTCATGTCCCAGAGCCTTGTTTACAGCATACAGGCAAAAAACAGAAACAAAAACCCATGAGCTGCAGCAAGAACTTAGGCCCCACCAACAGGAGAACTCAAAACTGTCTTCCCAGCTCTGACCTGGAGAACAGGACGCTGGGACTCTCTGCTCAGTTTTCACTCTACCCCTTCTAGACCCCACCCCTCAGAAAGCCTGCCAAGTGTCAAGGGTCATGCCCCCCCCCCAGCTGATCAAGACCTTGCCTACAGGCCATTTAAGACCCAGTCACCAGACCTGCCACCTGCTCTCTCTCCTGCCTCCCCAGAGTCACCCGGGAGTGCTCTGCTTTACTTTTCTCTGTTTATTAAATTTGCATTTACTAATTCGGTCTAATTTGGCTTATTGCATCCACGGAGGATACCCAATAACCGGGGATCCAATACTTATCTCTGGCCACTGCAGAAGGAAAATGTGTGGTGTCAGCTGCTTCTGGCCTGTACTTCAGCACCGGGGAGGTAGAGACAGGAGGATTCAAACTTTAAGGCCATCTGCGGCTGTACTGGGAGCTCAAGGTCAGCCTGGACTGAATAAGACACTGTCTTAAAATCTAGATAGGAAAAGGGGAAAGGAAAGGAAGGAGACAGAAAAAAAAATCACCTAATAATCAGATTTAGAAGAGAAGAAAGGGGGGAGGAAGGGAGGAGAGAGGAAGAGGGGAGGGGGAGGGGCTCTTACCTCATTGGCTAAACAGAATAAAAAGGATTTGGCCAAAAGAACAAGGCATGCTGTGAACTAGCTCGTGAAAACCACAAAGGGTTCAGAGCCAATCCCACTGACCACCAGCAGCACTCCCGATGTCAGCAACCCACAAAATGCTACCCAGATGGAGCTGGCTTGTTGTTTATATGACTATCTTCTGTTTAATTTAGGAAGCACTTTTAACACTATGAAGATGCGGTAATGTCTTCAACATGAAAATGCGATGTGTGAACTCTCATTACCAGGATCAACTTTTAGGGCCTTCCTCCCTTGCCAGCGGTTGTTTGGCAGGTATAATCCCCAAATACTGAAGTCTGGCAACAATGACACTTAGCCTGTTTTTCATTTGACGTGATTTCACTAGTTGGCTGAGGCTGTCCTCAGACTCTCAATTCACCTGTCCCAGTGGTCTGAGTGCTGTATGTAATTACAGGCATGTATCAGGACGCAGGGGCTTCTGTGGTTTTTACTTCTGTGTAGGGGAATTAGAGTATGAATTCAAAATTAACAGTAAGGGTAAGTATCCTAGATTAATCCAAAGACAAGTACACACGTGCATGCACGAGCGAGCACACACACACACACACACACACACAGGCACACACCTATACCAAGTTAACGGTGCTATTTACTATTTCTAATTAATTTCTGAAATAAATGAAAATTGAATGCAGTGACAGTACCATCACCAGCTTGATTTTATTCTTTACTTTCCATACTGCTGCTTATTTGCTTACAGAAGTGGAAAGAAAATTTTTAAGTTCAAACACTAGGGAACTTTTAGCATTAAAGGCTACGGGACTCCCAAGACAATGTAGACTATGGCTGCTGCCATTGGTTGCTCCTCAGAGCTTGAAGGTGAGTCCCTACTGCTGAAGACACACAGGACACAGAACTCAGATTATCCATTCTGAATCTAACGTGAATGCCATGATGCACTTGGCAGAAAAGGAAGGGAAGCAGGGATGGATGGTTATGAATAACTGAAAACATATACCACACATGTAAACAAATGCATTGTTCCTCCTGGGGCGTTTCATTTCAATTATACTTCACAGAAAGTTTAGGAGACAATACTATTATCATCCACATTACTCAGATAAGGGAACTAAAGTGCACATTCAGGAAGTAGAGAAGTAAAATGCAAAGTTTGTATCTCATTGCTCAGGTTGGTTGAATTTCCACCACTGTTGACTGGGTCCCCTTCATTTACAATTCCTAGACATCCTAGTGGGTGTCTGTTAGCCTGGTGACAGTGTGAGCACTGCAATAATTACTACTTGTCATCTCTGCAGACACTGGGGCCTCTGTCAGACAGCATTCACCAAATTCCCCAGCAAGTCACTAAGTTAATGTTTCAATGTTGATAAGAAACCTGCCAGCCTGACACCCCGCCCAAGCACAGTGTACAGGAAGTCCACCACCTGGGCCGGATCATTCCTGCCCAAGCCTAAGTGAAGAGTTGACGACAGCAGCAGAGGTGCGTTGTCTCCGTGAACAAATGATATGTATCTAGGAAAAGTTAAAGCAGAACTCAGTGCACAAAACTACTTCAGAAGTGCTTTTAAGTCAGCAAGGACTGTTAAGACCCACTGATCCTCTGAGAAACAGCGCTAAGAGAATGTCTGACTGGTTAGGACCCTGAGGCAGATTCGACAAGGAAGACCATCCCCTGAGTAGAATGAAGTGCTTGGGAGAGCCGCCTTTGTCTGCTCCTTGCTTGGCTTTCCCAACTGGAATGTCCTACCACCTCATGACTAAGAAGTCAACATCCCAGCTTCACAATGACACAATGACGTTATTCTATGGTCGCAGGCTTGGTCCTATCTTCCCTATGGAAAGCAGGATGTAGTTCACACCCCAGTGTTGACTGAGGTCTCATCAGGGCCTTTGGGCAGGTGGGACCAAAGGTGCAAGCTTCATTGACCCATCTGTCCTTAGAAAGATGAGAGAACGGTATCAAGAAATGGCCATAAAAAACTAAAATGTCACTTATTATGTAGTCTTCAAATGCCAACTCTGTCTTTGAGTTCTCTCCCTGTTGTGGAGATGGGCTAAGTGTGGAATGTGGGGGTTTGGAGTTTGATCCATGTCATGCCAGGCACTGTGACCTAGTTTCACTCAGGGTAGATGTGAAGGGCCCAGAGCCAGATGAGTCATGGTTGGTGAGAAGAATTAATTGAATACAACCCAGGTTGCTCCAGTGTGAATACAGGAAGTAAATTCCAGATAACCGAAGGGAGAAAAATGACACTGGATTTAGAAGTGCAGGGTAGGCTCACAGCACATGGCAACTGAGCTCATGTTGTTGACAAGACCAGACGTGTGATTATATTTATTTCTTCCTTTTATCTCATCTTTAAATCCTTTTTATTTTATACATACGGGTGTTCTGCTGCGTGTCTGTGCACAGAATGCTTGCAGTGCCTATGGAGGACAGCTGGATCCCTTGGAACTGGAGTTAGATAGTTATAAGCCACTAAGTGGGTGCTAGGAATTTAATCCAGGTCCTCTGGAAGAGAAGCCACCACTCTTAACTACTGTGCCATCTCTCCAGGCCACAATTTCTTTCAAAAATTCTTGTAAAAACTTCCATAGGAAATTACCATCTTTCAAGCACAGAATTTAAGGATGGGGTAGTGGAGTGGTGTAGTTTATGAATACGTGGAGTTCCACTCTAATTTCCTGTGCCTGCAAGTTATCAATAGTATGTTAGTCTATCTTTGCTTAGAAATTCAGCCTGGCAGATGAATAACTGTTACTTAAAAGACCTGTCCTGCAAACTTCAGGATCGTGTTTGGATTGAAAGATTAACACCAGTTCAATGATTCTTTTTCTCTTTATTTAGCTCATGTTATACAGAAGTACGTGGTTTAAATTTAACACAGGGCGTTCATATTTATTTTAGGTACCTTCTGTCTCCTATTTACTAAGTTGGGCTATTTTGAAAGAGCTTAAGTCAGCAGTTCTTAACCTGTGGGTGGTGACCCCTTTGTAGGTCAAAAGGCCCATTCACATGAGTTGCCTAAGGCCATTGGAAAACTCAGATATTTACATTATGATTCATAATAGTAGTAAAATTACAGTTATGAAGTCTCAACAAAAATAATTATATGGTTGGGACTCTTCACAACATGAGAAACCGTATTAAAAAGCTGACGCATTAGGAAAGTTGAGAACAACTGTTTTAAAGGTTTCCACATTTAGAATGAAGTTCAATTATCTATAGTTGTAGATTAGCAATTACTCTCTTTCATGGGGCAATAAATAAGTACTGATTTATTGCAGGAAGAAGGATAGGTATTGAGGTGGTACCATTTACAAACTCAACATATTAGAAATAGAAAAGGGAGCGTTTGAAATCGCACAGCAATTAGTATGTAATTACTGACATTTTTCCTACTTAGATAAAGGAAACCCTGAGAATTCCGCCTTATTTGATAAACTCATTACCCCTGAGCAAGTACAAAGTAGGAAGCAGCTGGCTGTGAACTCCTGCAGTAAAGACCAAGAGCAGTAGTGGCCACTCAAGGCTGCTTGGGAGAAACACCTGGAGGGCTTAGAAAGTTCCCAAGCTCTGATGTAGAGTTTAAGTTTCCATCCTCTATGGTAGGGTACAAATATTATCCCAGGGGCTCCTAATGCTTCCATCGCAAGCTAGAACTACAAGTCCTGCTAATCCAAGCCCCACAGCCCACTCCGTGTGCCTTCACATCCCACCTAATGTCCCACCTCCCCCATGTCCTATCTCTAGGGTTGGAAAGAGAGCCCGCAGCTGAAGCAGGTGCAAGAGCTTCGAGGGGGATGAGAACACACTGTTATGTGAGATTCCAAAGGTTCTCAAACCACTGAACCCTTCAATGCTTCACCGAGCAATGTGTATAATGGTTAATGTTTCCAAAAAGACTGTACTTGTACCATTTCTACACTTCTGGGTGTTGTCTCTGAATCCTGGATGCAGTTTTAACTGTGACACTCTCACTAAATCTGTATTTTGTAATGAAACCACCCATTCTTTTCCTCATTACCCTACTGATTTGAGAGATGATTCCAGCACAATCAGGTTCACTTACCTTAATTCCTTGTGGTCCATAACCGGGGGGACCAGGAGGGCCAGGCAGGCCCTTTTGCCCAATATCACCCTGTGAAGAGAGAGAAAAATTGACAACAAAGTATAGAAAGGTTATGGAGGGAAAAAAATGAACATATTATTGCTCTTGGCTTCATTCTTACATAAGCCAATCACATAAGGTGATTAGGATTCTCTTGCTGTAAGATAGTTCCAATTTCATTAAGGCTATGTTGATCTAAACATTCCTAGGCCACTCGAATTGCTTACAAACAGACTTTTCAACATAACCCAAGTGTAGGTAAAGAGGCAGGGAAGAGCAGCTTGAAGGAAACAGGAAGAAAGGCCAGGGACTTCTGCTTGGCAAACCTAGATGTCCCCACTCCAGGCTGCCCACACCAAGTTCAAAGGCCACTAATGCCAGATTCTATGCAGGCTTGAACAGGCTGCGCACTTTTAATATGGAATTCCAGTTCACTGGGAATACTGTTAGAGTCAGTGGAAGGGCTGGCAAACAGCTCAGTTCATAAAGTGTCCCCCATGTAAGCATGAAAACTTGAGTTTGGTTCCCAGCACCCAAATGAAAAAGCAGGGCATGGTACTTGTAACCTCAGAACTGGGGCTCAACAGGGCAAAAATCAGTGAGTTAAAGTCAATGAGTGACCCTGTCTCTAAAGCAAAGTAGAACGTCTCTGAGGAATGGCATCTAGGACTCTGGCATGCGCGCGCGCGCGCGCGCACACACACACACACACACACACACACAGGCAAACATGTGCTTGCATATACATAAAGATACATATATATATATATACACACACACAACAGCACACAGTGAGATTGTATACACACAAACATGCACAAACATCAGTATCCACACACAGACTAAGGTTTTGTGACATCACCAAGTGCTATAATCTTCAAATGTGCGGAATAACCAACTGAAGTTTTGTCATGACCATATTAAAGCTCGAAGAAATTTCACAATAAGGTAGCTTACCTATACATATCCCAAGAGATGGTAAATCAATCCTGAACAGCACACACTTTGAGAAGAGGGAATTAGTTATTAAATAAGTCAGGGGATTTTGTTTTGTTTGTTTTTCTTGCCATTACAAGAGCTTTCTTTTTCTCAAGTTGTAAGGATGTTTGTTTTCTCATTGCAAAAAATATTTTAAAACTAAAATTAAGGGTGATAATGAAAAAAATGGATCCAAATTTTCCCTGATGATGACTTTGTCACCTTAAGGGAATCTTCATGTATGTACAGTGACCCATGATAGTCAAGGAAGAAAAAGGAATGAACTAAGAATTCTGGTGAGGCTGGATCCTCAACAAAGTTCATGGCTCAAGAATTATTTCTGCCCTCTTCTCTAGTAACAGGATTTAATTTCACATGAAATTTGCATGTGACTAAACTTATTTAAAATCTGAATTTGTGGTGTGTGGCTCATTGGCACTGGTTTACCCATAAACACGATGTAAACTTCCTTGCTTCACTTTTTAAACAAATAAACCATATTTCTTGAATAAATGAATGAACAATTAGAGGAGCATCCCAATCTCAGGACTGCTGACATTTTGATGGAGATCACTCTGTGTTTGGGCAAGCCGTCTTGTTCATCAGAGGCTGTGTAACAGCTCTCCTGAACTTTATCCAGTAAATGTCAGTATCATCTTCAGCTGAGATGGCCCAAAATGTCCCAGTAGTGATATTGTTTAAGCGCCCCCATTAGCATCTCTGGAGAGGAGGACAAAATCTCCTCAGTGAGAAACACTAGATTTGAAGAAGTAAAGAACCGATAAGTACCAAACTAGAGGAGACAAGCAAGTGATACGTAGAAATAAAGAAAAGGGACACTGAAAGAAGCCACTTTCTATGGGGACAATGAAGTTTGATCTTTGCACCAAGTTCTGACACAGCAGGTGGAGATATACTATACAGTACATACATTAGCCAGTGACCTATTAAAAGGCCACCCCCCCAAAAAAAATCTGGCCAAAGATGTAACTTTTTTCCTTATATATATGTAGCTCAGGATGGACTTGAGCTTGGTATGTAGCACAGGTAGGCCTCGAATTAGGAATCCTCCTGCCTCTGACTCAAGTGCTAGGACTAGAGGTGTATACCACTATATCCAGCTAGAATTTGTTTCTTGATGAGGTAGAACAGCTTCTGAGAAACCTGGAAATATTTAGAACACTTTGCAACTATAGTTCTCTCAATTGTGTTGAGAGAAGTTGGCTTTCTGATTTTGTAAGGGAAGCAAGTGGTTTAAAGATACTGAAGGTCACATGATATGAACAAAGATTTCGTCAATAATCCAGAAAAAACTAAGCCAACAACAAAACAAAGACTTCATATGAAGGAGCTGTTGTCAAAGCTTGGTTGTCCCTTCTTAGAAATGCTTGGAGTGACAAGTGTTTCAGAATTGAGTTTTAACAAATTTTGGAAGACTTGTCTGTATATGATGCTTCCTTTGGAGATGGGAGCCATGTCAAAACACAAAATGCTTCACAGGCACTATGGACGCCTGAAGGCACCAGAATTTTGATCATTACTCATTTCATGGAGTCAGCTATGGATTCGCCATTTGTGGACAAGCTGTGCATTTCTTGTTCAAGGTTTTCCAATTAGGGATATCCTATCTGGCACCTGATGCTCACATGTATCAGAGACCGAGGACTCACCTTTGGTCCTTGGGTTCCAATGCCCCGAGGCCCAGGAGGACCTGGAGGGCCTCTGACCCCTGGCTCTCCCTGAAAATACATAATGAATGCCAAGTTACCAATTTAAAAACATGTATAATTTTTCATGTTAAACACACGTTTTAAATACCATTTACAAATTTTGAAGTCCCTTGAATTTTCCTGAGAAATTCATTGAGCCCATTTCACCTAAATCAGCTTGCTGTTTTGACATTATGCACTCTCTTCACTCTCTTCTCGTCACGTGTGTGCCCTTTCCTGATAAAGGGTTCCGTTTCAAATTCATCAGCTAATTAACTTCTTGGCAGAATTAACGTGTGCTTCTTTCAGAACTTGCATCTCTGGAATTTGGAAACCTAATTATTGCTTTTTTGACAGAGGAGGAAAGGAAATATAAGGATAAAAAGAGGCCACGAGGAGCTAGGGCCACATCCCGAATGACCCTCTTCTATTATTTCCTCAACTAAAATAAGGCTATTTGACTTGGGGGTTGACACTTGGGCCGCAGTAGTGAATATGACCATGTGGTAAATTCTATAACGATCTTGCCCTTTCTCCAAGGCATGATGCTTTAAGGCTGGTATCAGATCTTCCTGAGATGGCATTGTCAAGAAGACACAAAATCCTCTCCATTCTTCAATTTCTGTATGCCAAGATAATGTTAGGAATGTTCGGGTTGATACCATTTCATGCTCAGGCAATCCCCTATTACCATGCTGACTCATTTAAATCTTCTGAACTTCAGTAACTTCATCAGACATGTGGAGAATAATATCTACACCTCATATGGATTGGAGTGAAATGAGAGAGTGATTCATAAGGCCTAGGAGAGGGTAACCACTTGGTTAGTGTCAGATCAAGACAAACCTGCTTTAATTAAAGAGGACACGACCAAAGCTCTGCAACTCTGTCCAGCTGCTTTCCTAAGAGACTGGGCTGAGCAGAGGTGGAGAAGCAGTAACCTTCTGAGTTTCTCCAAAACCCCAACATATATGTGCCACCAACCCAATGATTTCACTGCTAAATCCATTTAAGGAAAATAAGAGCACATTACACCCAAAGCCAGGAAAATGTAAGTCCTTAGCAGAATTACTCAAAATAGCTCAAACCCAGAAAGGACCCAATGTCCATCATCTGGTGAATAAATAGACAAAACCCTGCAAGAAACAAACTTATGGATTCGTGCTATAATATGAACACCCCTCAAAAACAATGCTCTTCATGACAGATACTGGAATACTGCAGGATTCCAATTATTGAAAGTTCAGAAGAAAATAAAACTGTAGAAACAGAAATACACTAGTAGTTGCCTGAGGCCAGGATTAAGAACATGAATTGATCATAAATAAGCATGAGGGTTCCTATGGGAAATATTCTAAAATTGAATTGTGAAGACAGTTGTAAACTAAATTTTAGTGTAAAATCCCTGGTTTGTGGATGGAGGAATCCTATGAAGAGGCATGCTTCTATAAAATTACGAATTAAAAAAAAGGAGGATCCAGGGAGTGTTTCAGCATTTAAGAACACACAAGTTGGTCTTCCAGAGGAGCCAGGTTTAGTTCCCAGCACCCACATGACAGTTCACAATTGTCTGCAACTTCTGCTCCAGGAGATCTGACACACTCTTCAGGCCTCTGGAAGCACCAGGCAAATACATGGAGCACAGGCTCACATGCAGGCAAAGCACTATATATACAATTTAATTGTTAAAGTTTTTTTTTTTTAAAGAAGATTCAGAATCAGGTTTTAGAACTATCTGTTCTTTGTCTTTCTACAATGTTTCAGTATATAATTAAAATAATATACATACCTTTACAGGTCACATTTTTTGTTTGGTTTTTATACATCCATTTTCTAATTGGAATAGTTTTAAATGATTTGGTTACTAGTTTTTTTCTTATTTTTACCCCTTTTTAATTTAAATTAGAAACAAGCTTGCTTCACATGTCAATCCCAGCTCTCTCTCCCTCCCCTCCTTCCCTGCCCCTCCTACCAGGCCTCCCCAACCCCCACCCCATCCAATGCCCACTCCATTCCCCAGGGAAGGTGAGGCCCTCCCATGGTGGATCTCCAGAGTCTGTCATTTCATTCAGGGCAGGGCCTAGGCCCTCCAACAAGAGTCCAGGCTGGGAGAGCATCCCTCATTGCGGGATAGGCACCCAAAGTCCATTTGTATGCCAGGGATAAATACTGATCTACTACCCAAGGCCGCATAGATTGCCTAGGCCTCCTCACTGACACCCACATTCAGGAGGTCTGGATCAGTCCCATGGTGGCCTCTGAGCCATCAGTCTGAGGTCCAAGAGCTCCCCCTTGTTCAGGTCATACAGCTCACATTTTTACTGGCTCATTTCTCCTCATTTTTCCAAAGGATTTATGGACAGTCCATGCCATGGTTGCTGGAAGATATTTTTTTTTTTCTTCAGTGGTGTAGTCATCCACAAGTTTCCCAGGCTCCTGCAAACAACTCTTCATTCACCCTTCTGAAAGTTTGATTCCTATTGAGCTCACTGGTGCTCCAAACTGCACTTGAGTGGAATAATTTCTTCATTTCTGTCATCGTGCTCTCCCGGGGATGAGTAGACATTTGTTCAAGTTTCCTCACGATAGTCCACACAACACAGCTCCATCTCAAGGGTGCTTCTGAGGCCCTGGGTACTAACTATCTCTTCAACACCTCTCTTCTACTGATTGTCATCCCTGAGTGACTCCAAGTTCCTCCCAGCTCCAGGGCTCAATCTCACACAAAGAGCTTGAAGCAGAGAGCACGAGCAGTCTGAGTCAGACACATTTCTATGGTCTCACCTTTCTTGAGACCCTCTGAAACACCCATAAAGGGGGTGTCTGCACTGTGTGAGGGCCTCCAGCTACACCTCGCTGATCTGCTCTCTGCTGCTTAAAAGGGATGGGGCTTTATCTGTTAGGGTTCTAATACCAACCAACAAAAGAGAACACCAGCAAATGCAGCTATACAGGTTTTACTTAGAATCACTAAATATGTTGTCAAACAGATGTGATTGATGGCTTCCTTTCCTGGGTTGCTGATGTCCTCTGTCATCCCAGAATATGGTAGACAATTTAGTCATGATGTAGCTGGACACCTCGTGCCTTCTCTGTGGAACACACTGCCTGACTTGTGAATGACATGACTTAGAAAAACTGGAGTGGCTACAGTTTGAATAGGTATAGGTCTGTCAGCTTATAAAAACAGGAAGAGAAATACGTGAGTCACCACTCTGAGAACGCAGGATAGCGTTAGCAAAAGCCTCAAATACAAACAACATACGCCTGAAGGAAGTACAAGGACACACTGAGGGACGGACAAGCTGGTTTCAAGAGACTTGAGAGGTTCCTCAATCGAATGCAATGTGTGGGCATCACTCAGACCCAACTCATTTGAACAAAACAATCATAAAAAATTCATGAGGCAAACTGGAAAATTTGGACACTAGATATTTGTTATAGTAAAAAATTGTTGGTGTGTTTAGATTTTATAGTAGTTCTGCAGCTATGTTTTGAAAAAGAAATTCTTTTATTTGAGAGATAAATATCAAATCTTTATTTGGATGGTGTCTGGGGATTATTTCAGAAACAGGCAGTGGGGAGAGAAATAGGGAATACAGATGAAAGGAGACAGACTGCATACTGATAACAGAACTATAATCAGTATGTGAAAGTCGTGTCATGTGACTTTTTAAATGTTTACAATAAATGGTTTTGATAACATTGTTTTAAATTCATGAACAATATCCAATAAAAATCCCACCATTACCATGAGCCAGTATTGTTGTAGTGTTGTAGGAAAAGATTACATAATTTAAATAATTTTTTTAAAAACAGCCAAAGGGGACTGGTGCATTGGCAGATAATGAGCATCACAGATAGAATTTGCACGTTTCAAGCATTGTTGGTATGTACCAAATGTCATATAATTTTTTTTAAAAAAGGGTTGTAAATGAAGGCATGGTTTTTTTTTTTAATTTCATTCTTTAAAGAAAGAATGCCACTACTTAACTCATGGTATTTTCCTCTGGTTTTGGTTAATGTATCTTCTCAACTAGAACAGATAATATTAAAACATGTACAAGTGCACACACGTGTGTGCAATATACTTTCTATAGACAGCAATATCAGGAATCCAATGAGCTATAAATAGAGAGAAATAGCATCTTATCATGATGACAGAGAAAACACATCATAAATGTGTTATGTCTCTTGTCCCTTGGGCCAAGAGTCCCTGTTAAACCTTGACAGCTGGGGCATGGAAGACATGGATTGTATGACTCTCAGGTCGCACTCAACGCTACTGCTTCTGCCACAGCACAAGACTGGTGCCTACGTCATTAACTGGCCATGTAACGTTGGAGGGTGTTAGAGCCTGCAGAGGGAGCCCTTGTACTAGGAGACAATGAACAAAAAAGTAAATTCTGGAGTTTCTATTTGTAACCACATCGCCAACCTTGTAATCCCATAGCCCAAACCCTACAATTATCTGCCTTGATTCCATCAAGGAAAGGGCTGTTTAGAAGGCCTCCTGCTTCTCCTTGTACACAAAAGGGACTCTAGATGGGAGGCACCTCTTTCATTTTCCCTGGAAATGGCCATGTTCAAGACTGACTACACATTTATTCCTGAGAATGAATGACCTACACACCTGTTCCCATGAATGAATGATCTAACAAGGGTTTTAGTCCCAGAGCAGTTAATTTTGACCCCTTTAAAAATGGACGTGTTCTCATGATGGTGATAGTAAGCATGAACTGAGACTTTTATTTTTTTTTCACAGAAGAAAAAGAATCCGCAGCTACTCCCACGTGCCCCGTTTTCTCACATCAGTAAATTTTTTCTGTAGCTTACAATAAAAATATTATTATGAATAGCAATGAACATTTGTGAAGTTTATTATGCAGAAAGTCATTTCAGTCAGTATCTTAGTAATCTTATGAACATCAACTTATTTCATTTGATAAATAAGGAAACGGGGCCGGGCATTGGTGGCACACGCCTTTAATCCCAGCACTCGGGAGGCAGAGGCAGTCGGATCTCTGTGA